AGCACCCTCTCCCAGACTTCCCAGTTCAACAATCATATTCTGTTCACTAGCCGCGTGCCAGCCTTCATCATCGAGATCATCCACATCGAGGGGCCGGCCCTTCTCAAGACTCAATTTGTCCAGATCGGGGAGGAGACCGTTCACACTGTTCTCACGGTCCCCGTTCTCGTGATCTGAGTACACCGAACTAATGGCCGAGGACGGATCTGACGAGCCATCCGGCTCTCGGAGGCCACGGGCGAAATTAACCGTCGAATATGAAGGGTTTGAAGAGGCTGGACCGTTGGTCTGAATTTGTAGAGTGGGCGCACCTCCACCTCCTAGACCATTTGTACTCAGTGGGGGCGGGGCTGGTCGACCGTTTGGCATGAGGGTTGGCTGGGATACATTCTGCTGGCTGCCCATAGGAGTCGCGAGATGCAGTCGTGGGGGTGCTGGTCGACCCGACGAGCGAGGCTGAGGTTGGGGATGGGTTTGGATTTGAGGTACTTGGGCGGGGGCGGGATTGCCATTGACGGGTTTGGCGCTAGGTGAGGGGGGAATGCCTAATGTGAGCTTCGGGGCTCGTGGGCTGCCATTATTGTCGCGAGCTCCAGGAACTGGTGGACGAAGGAGAGGAACAGGGGACGACATGGCGAGATTGTTTTGCCTTTCGCCAGGCAAGAACAACTCGTTCGGATCTGCGAGAGTAGCCACAGTGTCGACCTTGGACCAGTCTGCCTTGGGAAGTCCTGGGGGGAAGGCGGATTGGAGGGAGCAAAAATATGTGAAAGGCAGAGCAGAAGTAGAATCAAAGACAGAGGTGTACAGGCAAAGGCAAAAGTAGAGAAGCAGAAGCAGTGGCAGAAGCAGCAGAGATAAGGTAGAGAACAAGCGAGTGGAGTTGGAAGTTACCGAGAGATGCGGGCAGGTGACCTGTTACTCCACCATATAAGAAATAGAGGATTCCGTCGTACTTCTTAAATGTATTTCAAGTATTTAGGATCTAGTTCAAGCGTTTGTAGGACTTGGAAACTGTCTAGTCCGTAGAGAATATTAATAGAGCGACACAGCCGACAACAGAGGGTCGGGCTGTGGTGGGGCCTTGATGTTTCAGAAAGCGCCTGAGCTGAAACACATGTCTATGATGTAGGATTTACTCCGTAGGGACAAATATGTTGTAGATGTGATTTTTGTGTTCAAATATTGCTCTAATTCTTTTGTGGTTGTGTTCGGGGAAATCAGAGAATTTTCCCGAGTACCACGGTTCATGTTTGTCCCCTTTTTGATTTTTATATCAGTCCACGGGTGTATGTATATAACTACAGACATGTACATGGGTACAATACGTAGCCATAGAGCTCAAACTCTAAAACTAAATCCAAATACTAGATCTCCATGACTGTTAAACGTTGTAAACTTACGTTGTTGCCTTGAGCCGCAACTACTGGGTACACTTACAGGCAATCTGTGGCGTCGACACCATTGCCAGCACATTCAGGCCTGTCCCCCACCTGATCATGACCTATCAGAGGCCATAGAGGTGTGACTGGCTGGACAGCCTTACAGAAGTACCGACTTTTTTGCAATTTCTCTAACGTGCTATATGATGCAATCTCCAGTTACCAGTTATATTGCGACGGCCCTCATATCAACCAGATCGACTACTCCGTACCTGGAGATATGTCATTGAGGGGCTATCCAGGGCTGATTGCAGTCTAACTCCATTCTATCCCTTGGAAAGGTGTGGCTTAGTCCAAATCTGTGGCCACGCAATGAGACCCGATGATGACATGCGCCCGGAAGCCCTAGCCGATCCGCACCAGTAGCATTTCATTTCTCTCCCATTCAATTCAAAGCTGATTTAAATTAGACCGGATTCTTGCCGGGGGAGCCGGTGCCAAGCCCCATAGATGAGGTCAATCGTACAACATAAATAGTACAATAGCCCCAGTGTGGATATCACAAATTGAGTTCATTTGAGACAAGCACCTGGTGAATCTCGATCCAATTTTTGATCTCGCTAAGGTCCAGCTAGCTCGAGAATGCAGATACAAATATATACGGAAAATGCCGGCTCTATCAGCAGTGGAATAATTGATCTTGAATGATACTTGACCTAGCCAATATAGAAGTGATATCATGGGAATATCTGACGAAATGGTGCGCTTGTCTTCAAAAAGCTTGTTTATACTAATACTCTCGATAATGCATTCCTAGTGGTCAAAAGCAAACTGAGCCATAACCGAGAATCTTGCTGTCTGATGGAAATGGGAATACAGTCTCACTGGCTCTTTAAACATGACGATACTGACAATATAACCAATAAAGGTAATGACAATAACAGATCCTTGCTTCTTGAGCGATTTGAAAGGCAGCGTGCAGAGCAGCCAGCTTTTTCGATCCTTTCAAAACAGGCTACATTGCACCAGCACCCGCTGAATTACAGCCCATTGTGGTACGAAAAAAAAATTCTCCGTGTATGCTGTGTATCTGGACTCCATGCCGAGTATTATTATTCGATAAGACATGAACCGAACGAGTTCATTATTCTTCTCGGTGCCGCTCGCTTGTGTCATCAGCGCTAAGAATGACGCGTCGATGCTGATCGGTCGGGTAGGGTGAAAGATAGGTGATTGTTGATGGCGATCACATGAAATCGGGGCTGCAGAGTTGACTAGGTGATGTGACGGGGTGGCACATGAGGACAGTCTTGCATGGGCGCTAACGACACCACGCTACAACATAGACCTGTCAGTACTCTATGACTGGGAACAACCTTGGAAGCCCTATGGAATTTGTCATATCAGCATTGAGCGGTAGAAAGTCGACTGGGATATCGTCTCTTGACTTAGCCGATGTGATATCCCCACTTGCTCGTGGCGCGCGCAATGGTCAAGAGATGTGAGGAGTGTAGGATATTTCCAAGGTCAGAATGCGGTATGAGCGGTGTGTTAACGCGAAGCCCCTTGCCCTGAACATCAGAGACTCAGAGACTATTGAGGTCAGATGAGGGGAATCCCACGCGACAAGGCGAGGATGGACTTCGGAAAAGGTCCAGGTCCACTCAAATCGTTCTCCCACGAACGCCCCTATCGTCGACAATAATTCGGCTGAACGTTATGGCTATATATATCAAACACAACCCCACCAATAATTATTATATCCCACAAAGCTAATTGTAGCTAAAGATAGTACCAGAGATGAGTACGGAGTATGGGGTTGATAATGGTACCATACCATACAAAGCACGTTGGAATAGAATAAAGGCCCGATCTATTGAAAAGAGGACCACGAAGCGCAAGAATTCAATAGCGGCATGTGGAGTCTTTGGGCCGCCACGAGGTCTCCGGAAACCGCTTGGTGCGAATAACCCCTATCATGGAGTCGGGGACAACCAATTGGTCCAAAGTCAAGGACATAGACCTGGCTTCAGGCGGTTGAACCGCTTCGAAAGTGTGATCCAAAGTCTCGACTTAGGAACAGGATAAAGATCGACACCCTTTGACGCTGCAGGCTCCAACCACAGCTTACTACTCGTAAGCATACCTCTTTCAGGGTACATCTTTCGTAGACAAAAAGTAAAATCGACTGTGCTGCTCGAATGGTGTAACGGACTCAAAATTACTGCATATGGGCCATGTCAGGGGACACCCAATCACACGGCCAGACCCCGATATTAGTTTCCCAAATTGCGCTTGGGCATTGACTCCCACATTGCCTAGCACAGGGGTAGGAGGCAAGCATCATCAAGCACTGGACCCAGAAGTAAAACAACACGGTCTCGCCGTTATGGCGTGGCGAAACCTTCCCGTCGCGGGGGCAATACACAGTAAGTCGAGTTGTGGCGTTGTTCTCCGGCTTTATCGGCTTATTTCTACTGAAATTGGTCCGGTCAATAATATTACAGTGATTACGGAGGACACTATGGGATACTAATGAGAAACGGCAGTTCTCCTATGCCAGGATACATTGTACAAAACAAGTCTCGGACGACGATATACTCAGAGGCCCGGAGGACACAGTACAGTCCCATAAATTATGAGCCACAGAAATCGGATATAATAATACATAGTCAAGTACTAATGTAAAGGCAGTACGGAGTACTCCGTACAGTACTTCGTACATAGTGAGTAATAATACAAAAGGTGTCTCAGCGCTTCGCTCCGACAAAGAATAGAAAGAGTTTGGGTTCCATCTTAAGATGAACCTCCGGAGTATGAACCAATCTTATTTCACAAGTCAAGTGCACATCATCGTGGATTCGTCCTTACACAATACGTTCCATTGGCGAAATAAGTGGCGGGCTGTTCAGGGGTAAGTGGAGATGAGAAGAGACCCACGGGGTAATGCCAACTGGGACGACAGGAACGGGTAGTGGATCGGCGATGCGGTCTGAAACAACACAAAGAAAAAAGAAAAGCATATCTGAGAGAAGGGAGAAGCTGTTATAGAGTAGTATTGCAGTCCAACACTTAGTATGGAGTACAGAGTATGTGCATCTGCCTTAGTATAGGAATTTGATATGTACTCCGTAAGGGAGTCTCCAATGTCTAGACGATCGTCATCGGTTAATAGAAACACTAGCGGGTCAAAATTACCGACCAACCTGGTAATGAGAAACAACCCCTTAACATCGATCCAATCACAGGATTGAATAAATGAAGGCTGTGCGAGGGTCAATGTTCTGGGTACATGGCAGGTTGCGGTGTGGGTTAGTGGTGGATGAAGTACCCAGTACAATTTGGTCGTCCTTTTCCCCTTTTTTTAGGGCCAAAACAACCAGAAAGCAGGCTGCTGATCTTGAGACTAATCTCCCCGTTAATACAAAGGCCCCCTGCCTCCCCCGTGCTGTTTCTGTTTCTTTCTTCTCTCCAAGTACATTCTTCGCAATCCAGTCACTCTCTCTCGACTTCGGTCTTCCACTCTTTAAAACCACACTCTTTCCAACAAAAAGCTAGGCTTTTTATATATACCTTTTTGAACATCGCTTTTTACGGTTTTCGTACATAACATTCAAAATGCGTTTCACTACTGCCACTGTTGCCTTCTTCGCCGGCCTTGCCATTGCCGCCCCCGGTGCCGACAAGACCGTCTACGAGACCGATGAGGTGACCATCACCTCCTGCGCTCCTACTGTCACCGACTGCCCCGGCAACAGCGGTGCCGGTGTTGAGCCCACTGGCAGCACCACCCCCTCCAGCGTTCCCGCCGCTGTCACCTCCCCTGCCGGTGAGGCCCCCGAGACCTCCGTTGCCTCCGAGACCCCCGCCTGGTCTTCTGAGACCCCTGCCTGGTCCTCCGTCCCCACCTGGGCTCCCAGCGTCCCCGCTCCTAGCGCTCCTTCCAGCGTTCCCAGCGCTCCCGCTCCCCCTGCTGGCACCCCCGTGGTCTCCTCCAGCGTAATTGCCGTCACCACCTGCATCCCCACCGTTATCTACTCCACCGTGCCCGTTTCTGCCACCACTCCCGCTGGCAGCAACGTCCCCCACGGTCCCACCGGTGGTGTTCCCCACGTTCCCTCCAGCAGCAAGGGTGTTGCCACTGGCACTGCCTCTGTCTCCCCCGCCACCTCCTCCCCTGCCTTCAACGGTGGTGCTACCCTCAGCGGCTCCCTCGGCTTCGCCGGTGCTGCCGCCGTTGCCGCTTTCTTCCTGTAAACGACTTCTTCCGGATTTCTGACTGCTACACCTAGTTGGATCCGTTGGATCTAACTCTGGCGTAGTTACAGTGTTAAACTGGAGTGGTTGATTAGAGGTGATGCGAGAACAGAATTGTGTTATTTAGGGTTTCTGGTGATTTACTATTAACAATTGTTGCTTTCTGACTGGATATGTCTATCCCTTTTTCGCTTTTTCGATATACATATTCCTTTTTATTTCTTCTCGGGCTCTCCTGGATAGCTTCGGAGTTGTGCGAAGCTCGCTTGGTGGCTTGAGCACGACCTTAATGTAAACCATGACAGCTTTTCACATTCTCCCTCTCTCCAGCGCCTGTAGCCTCTTTGGAATGTATCCTCACTTTTTGAACATTCATAACTTCATAATTGTATAAGGCGTTTCCATTACAAGTTCGGTTTGAAAGCTTCTGGGGCAGTGATCGTCCTGAGGTCGTAATTAAGTGCTTGGTAGACAACTCGAGTATTGTATTGCCTCTGTCCATGCCCTTGAGTACACGTGCGACCTCGAATCGTGTACTTCCTAGGGCTGAATATGCCACGACTTACAATTGTAAAGCCAACTGGATGGCTGGATTTTAAATTCAAACTCAACTGCTTCATTCAACCAACTGCTGTCGGGTCCGTGCTGACCTATGCTTGAATCTGAACTGCTATAGTCTTACAATCGCAACTCTCCCATGGGTACTAACATACTATTTTCTGAGGTACACACAGACTTCAAGTTAGCATCTAGTCCACATAAGCACGTCAGTCAAGGTAGTGCCTAATACATGTTTCTCTTCCAAGTTAATGACCCCTGGCGGTTGTTGTGTCTTACAATTAACATTTCCCTCGATCTCCCCGTGCATTCTTTGTATTTTGCTGTCCCGGATGAGTCTGCTATAGTGTCTTCTTACCCACCCTTGCGGGCTCGGTGTCTTTATACACAGAGTATGGAGTAGAATATAAATAAAAAGAATATCTGGAAGACATCTAAAAAAGACTGCGGGGCACTAAATAGGCATAACAAGGCCGCATAAGCGGCCGACTAGTTATTCTTATACTATATATGTTGTACAACATACAGAGTACAGGCACAGGACAGGTCCATGAGCATAAAAGCTGTATATAGTAAATGATTGGCCGCCAAAAATAGAGAGCCCCACTATTAGTGAGCTCAGTGGCTGAATCCGAAGTTGGCTTGTTTGTTGAGGATTGAGCTGCCACCCTCGAATCGAGTGTCTTTAGTGCCACTCAGACACTTCCAGTCCAGCAAAGAAAAGAAGAAAAGAAGAAAAGAAATGTGCTCTGTGTAATAACCGCTGCTATTCTCGTACCTCAACATATATCGTATCCGAACCCTGAAATACGGGGATGGTGGAATTATGACCCCTTCTTATTGTGATATACGAATCTTGGAAGTATCTCGGCACACTTGGCCTTCGTACAGGCCCCATTCCTGCTATTATTGCAAACACCATTGGAAAGGAACATACTCAGTTAGTTATTGTAGTGAGAATGAGAAAATGCTTAACCCCTTGTGTGGATGCATTTGGACCCCAAATTGTATGCCGAGCAAACAAATCAATTTTGGGATTGTGGTCGGATTCTCTTGATATCCTTTGTTTTGTTTTTTTTGGGACTTTATAACCATCGTTCTGAAACGGAGTGTTACAATCTCGCATTTGGGCAATTGATTTTCAGTGATGAGTTCGGGATACGTGATGGACAAGAACATTGAAAAGATCATCGGTGCTTTTTAGCCCTAAGGGCATCCTTCCCACTGCCCTCCTGCCTATGAATCTGCCTTCGATTTGCTCCTCGTGTACAAACTGCATAATTGGTATGTGTTATATTCTCTTCTCTGGGGAAGAGTTGATGCCCTTTTAGACGTATCCGCCCTAGGAAGGACCCCTTTATTCCAAGGACAGTTCGATTCTCGCGTTGGATACGAGCCTTCCGTGACGGTCCACTATTGAACCCTTCAAAAGTTAATGTAGCTCGTGTCTAAAGATAGTCTATCAAGCCATATATATGATCTACTTGTTGAAATCCCTGTTCTACCGCACAATGCTTTTCTGTCTATCTCAGCGACAAGCTTCCGAGCCTCCCAATCCAGCCTCCTGTCTCGATCACCCTCTCATGGATCTCTCATCCCTCGAGGGCGCGCCGATAGTTAATCCAAAATTCATTGTTCCGCCAGATACGACGACTCCTCGTATTCGTACACAGTCGCGTGCTTCCATTCAATATTTGTTCTCAAAACCTCTGCCACCGAGACCTGCTTCAACGGACCCTATTTCGCCAAAACAGCATCGTAGCGCACTACAGGACTGGCCACCCAACCTCTCCACAATCGATGGCAATCTAAAGCGGGCTTCGGCCCGTAGACGTACGAGGCCTCCGCCGGACGCAGTGTCTCCTGACTGCGATGCGCGTGGACGGGAGGTGCGCCCACGTATAGAACACGTTCCACGTCCCCCCGTACGGCCACGGAGCTGTGTGCCCCTCACTTGGCTCGAAGATGAAAAGAAATGGAGGGTTGAAGAAATATATATGCCTTGCACACATGACTCTCGGCCCCAAGATGATATGGCGTCTTTTCGATCGCCAGTCTCACCAATTTCGCCCATTTCACCAATTACACCATGGCAAGACATGTTTCAACGTCTTGACGAGCATATTGAATATAATAATCGCCTTGCCCGGGAGAATCTGCTGAGCCAGATTCCGCACTACGATGGACACAGATTTAGTCAAACACGCGACACAGATTTAGGAGATGATCGGGTTTCCAGATGGGTCGCAACTGCTCGAAGAATGCATGAGAATCGGCAGAATTGGATGTGATTGAGCGTGATACCAGTTTGCTTGGGGATATATTGATCCAGGCCCTAGCTCGCTCATCTACGAATTATGCCAAACGCATAGGTATTAAGCGGTACGGTTTTGGCTTTCCTCTGAAACAGTTTTCTGTAGAAGAACCTGAGCGCCCGCTTATAAGAGAAAGGGGCGATAACATCCATCTGGCTTGATCTCAGACTATCTGACTCTTGGGTTGCGTAATTTCTCTCAATGACTCAGGGGTATCATGATTGCAAATTGTAAAGCTGCGGCTATTCCTCATATCTGCTCTTATATAATTGTATTTTGCATCCTTTCCCTCCCTGTTCCAAGTGCTAAGAGTATAAAATACCCGCTGTGCCCTCTGGTCATGGCGGCGGCCTTCTGTTCTAGATGGAGGCATGCAGCCTATCCTTTTGGCTTGATAGTATGAGTAACTATCTTATCTTTTGTTGTGAGACGATGAAACAGAAGGACAGTAATTCCCATTTCTTTGTCCGGAATTGGAGCCTCACCCCGATATCCTATACATTGGTGTAGGTTTATTGGATTTCGCCTTTTTCTGGCCACTACTATATCGTTCAAGGGAACTTCTGATGGCGGATAGTGCCCCGTCAGCCGTTGACAAGGTCAACTATTATTGGTCCCTCTTAATATTGGCTTTTAGATCAATGCTGGCGGAAATGCGCTACCGGGAACGGAACAGGGGTCATCAATGGGCCCATCTCCACTATCAATTTGAATATCGAATTCATTATCTAAAAGAGACTGTCCTCAATACTGCTCTGCTAACGCGCCAATGTAAATCTTTTATAAGTTTTGAGTATGGAAAGCGAAATGATCCACCGCGGAAATTCCGTGGGAGCTGGGGGCCACAAGGAAACCGTAGTAGCTCTAAGAGAGGCCATAGTTAGATACCACGGTGAAATAGTCGAATTTGTCATTCTGATATTACACTTCTCTGGCTCTCAAATATTCTTTTGACATTCTTCATAGCTCTTTTGAGCTTCTTAGTAAAGTAGGCTCTGTAATACTTATTTTTCAATTTGCCTCACTTTGCTCCTATTTTTTCAGCTCCTTTTTGTAAACCAGACTTATGTGATGATGCTGTAAGACCGGTGTTTCACGTATGTTTCGGCCACAAGAGACATTTCTACTATATGTACCAAACGAGTCCTAATGGAGCTAAGACTTTGCACACGATACGTTTTAAACTATGCCCCCGGATGGAGAGCCGAGATTTAGCTGGATTGGCCCAGACAAGATTAGTATGAGTAATCTCCAAACGAAAACCCTGATGCAGGGGCTTCCCTTCTCCGAGATGCCAGTCACAGCGCTGCTGTATGTCTGTCACCCGTCGGCGGAGGAAACTAGCAAACTGCATATTGGATCCACCGCTCCACCGCGAGTTATCGACAGCCTCGCTAACCACCCCTGCAGGTTCCGTTGACGGGGCGATACATGTAGGATTAAAGGCCGATAATAAGAAGATGGAAGATTCTCGAATCACTTCGTGTTTTCCCCCTCCCCCTCGCGGCTGGGCATCGATCCCGGTCAAGGAATGAGTGACTCCATTGCTCCAATTCTTTTGCGCGCTAACACAGACCAGCAGCTCTCCAGCCTCTGAATTATTTGCCAGCCAGTAGTAAAGATGGGACATATGATAGAATAGAAAAAAATTATATTATAAGAGGACAGGCCCAACGGATTTCTCGGCCTAGTTTTCACCCCGACATCGAGCACCAAGGCTACCAAACCTAGTCCACGATTAACATACTTTTTCAAATATTTTCTGGGATTAATATGTCTGTAATCAGAAAGTGAGACAAGATATCAGACTTGAATCGAATATCTCTCAAGTCCAAGTCGCAAAAGCTGCAAAAGTTGCAAAAGTCCGAATTTGATATTCACAAGTTCCTATCCGTGGTTCACACCTGGAAATCTCCCCGATTCTACCGCCTTCGATTAGAAAAAAAAAACCGCCCTCCCCACCCCCAATGGTCCAACTCGCTCACATCTTCAAAAAGGACAAGGATAAGGAGAAGACAGAGAAGAACAGAACTGACATACATTCATCCCGAAACTCTTTCTCCGCTTCGCGCACACCTCCATCTCCGAAGTCGACCTCCAAATCCCCAACTAAGTCATCTACCAAATCTCCCTCCAAATCCTCGTCCCCCACCAAACCCTCCAAATCCTCCAAACAGTCCTATTTTTCCCACAGTCGGTCTTCCTCCAATTCGAGACCCACCGCCAATTTCAAGTTTGCCCGGTCTTCGCGAGACCAGGACGTACACCCACTCAATCTCCCACCCGACGAGCTACGTCGTCGATTGTCCGCCATGGCAGCATCCAACGAAGAGCAGCGGAGCTCCATGGATATTGATTCCCAGGGACCCCAGAATAATGGCGTGAATGGCACTGAGGAGCGAAGTCCGACCCCGCCACCGCACCAGCCGAATTCAGCTTCTGCCGACGAGGCCGATTCCTTCAAGCTGGCCGGAAACAAGTTCTTCAAGGATGGTAACTACCGACGAGCTATCGAGGAATACAACAAGGGTATGAATATTCTTATCTCACAGGGACGCCATGTCTCATGAATTAGCCTTGAATGAGCGGGGTCGCTGATTATTATTGTCTACTGCAGCCATCGAGATTAATCCAAACTCATCGGCCTATCTCTCTAACCGAGCGGCGGCTTATATGTCCGCTAAACAATTTTTGAATGCGCTTGAGGATGTTCAGCGCTCCGACGAGCTCGACCCTAACAACCCGAAGATCATGCACCGATGGGCGAAGATTCTGACGAGTTTGGGTCGACCCGAAGAGGCCCTGGAGGTGCTGTCACGCATCCAGCCACCAGCGACCGCCACTGACCGGGCAGCCGCAGAGAAGATGCTGCGCTTCGTTACACAAGCCGAACAGACAGTAGCGGAAGACCGAGGTCTCTCGATGGTGATCTACTGTCTAGACCAGGCCCGGCAAGGGCTCGGACAAGGCGTCAAGGAGCCCCGCAAGTGGACACTTTTGGCCGCTGAGGCCCATCTGAGGCTGGACAACGTCAACTCACTAGGCAAGGCGCAGGACATTGCGATCAGCTTGCTGCGCGAGAACAGCCAAGACCCAGATGCGATGATGATCCGTGCCCGTGCCTTCTATGCCCTCGGTGAGTCCGAGCAGGCGCAGAAGCTTCTGAAGATGTGCCTCGGGCTGGACCCAGACATGAAGCAGGCCATCAAGCTGCTGCGCATCGTTCAGAAACTGGCTCGCACAAAGGAGGAAGGAAACACCGCTTTCAAGGCCAAGGATTATCACCGTGCTATCGATCTTTGGGCCCAGGCTCTCGAGGTTGACCCCTCCAACAAGGATATGAATGCCAAGATTTTGGGTAACCGTGCTCAGGCTTATATCAACTTGAAGGAGTATAACTCTGCCATTCAGGACTGTACTGAGGCTCTTCGTCTCGACCCCGGATATATCAAGGCTATGAAGTGCCGTGCCAAGGCCCACGGCAAGGCCGGTAACTGGGAGGAGGCTGTTCGTGACTATAAGAGCGTTGCTGAGAACAACCCCAACGAGAGCGGCATTGCGGAGGAGATCCACGAAGCTGAATTCGAGCTGAAGAAGTCCCAGCGCAAAGACTACTATAAGATTTTGGGAGTCGGAAAGGATGCCAGCGAGCAAGAAATCAAGAAGGCCTACCGCAAGCTCGCTATTCTATACCACCCAGATAAGAACCGCGACGGTGCAGCCGGCGATGAAAAGTTCAAGGAAATTGGTGAAGCCTATGAGACCTTGATTGATTCTCAGTAAGTCCGCCACAACTTTCTACATCATTCGACGCGAAGCTAACTTTATTTTCAGGAAACGTGCTGCTTATGATAACGGTGATGAACTGAGGGAGGGCATGCCTGGCGGCATGCATGGCGGTATGGGCGGTATGCATGGTTTCGGTGGTATCAATCCCGATATTCTTCGAGACATGATGAACGGGGGCGGCTCCTTCGGTGGTGCCTCGTTCGGTGGTCCCTCCTTCGGTGGTGCTTCCTTCGGCGGTGGCGGCTTCGGTGGCCATTCTCACGGCGGCGGCAACCCCTTCGGTGGCCCCGGAGCTGGCTTTTCGTTCTAGACGAAGTCCGTCTAACCCAGTCATTCACTCGATACCACGACCGATTCTTTCATCTTTCGCCCCAAGATGGCGAAACTCAAAACAGGAATTGCATGTCTTCGACCGGAGTTGGAGTTGCACCTCGATATCTTACACATTGATCAGTTCGATATTGGGGTTTCACTTTTTTGTCCACAGCCACATCACGATTTTTTTGTTTCTGCGGAGACGCCATATGATTCCCGATATGATAGATTTGATGTTTTTCCCGCCTTCGGTTTAATCTTTTCTCTCCTCCCCCTTTCCTCTTTCACCACTATGGCTTGTTTCGGAGGATTTTGTGTATGAGTGCTGTAATCTGGAATGAATCTACGAGGACAGTACATTTATGGACAATCGCTTTTAGAGTCCATTTGTACAGAAGACTGCATCCGATCAACCATTTTCGGGCGTTCATCTTTGTCTTATTCTTCTCTCGAGTTTCGCTCTTGACTTTGACTTTGACAATGACTTAGAGAGACTTGCTTGGCATTTCCTGGCTCTTGATGCACTTTGTGAGGTTGTCATTCTTGTTTCCATATGGTCATACAAAAGCATATGTATGCGGTGTATAGACCTGGATGACACTAATAAAGCAAATATTTTATCTCAGATATGGTCCCTTCTCGTATACTCCGTAGCCACATGATGGCAGTCCCTTCTGACGCTTACATGTATTTAATTTAGTAAATAGCCTCGCATACGAATCTTAGAAATTTTGAACCAGCAACACAATCGGTCCATTTGGTTTGCTTATTACGACAGTGTTATGATGACTACCCTACGATATAGTTTGAATAACAATCAAGGCAACCACCAATCATACAAAATTCTCCGTTCCTCATCAAAAACATACCGTCGGCGAGACGGCGCTCGACCGGAGGTGAGCTTTAGCCAACGTGAGCGCTAATTGGCTGTAAGTTTCAATTGCAAGATGTCGAATTCTGGTCAATTGAAATATGATGGGTCGTCGTCGGTTCTGGACTCGCGTATGAGTCGCGTATGAGTTCTGATAGGGACATTCTAATTCCACACCACATGGGTACGAGGCGACAGCTGATCTTGGTCGATCCACACAGCCAGGACTCACTAATGGCCCGTTAGGTCAAGATGCTGTATATGTTAGATTGTGATAGGTGGAATGTGTCTGGCGAAGTACATATAGTACCTCGAGAGTCAACAACCTCAAGTCAACGACAGGGTAGGAAGAGCCTGGGGTTGAACTATCTTTATCAGAAGTCTCTCTCTCAGGATGAATTGCGCTGCTGTCCGAATATACTATCTCTGCTTCGTTCGTTCACCCATAGGAAGTGGAGGAATATAGCTGTCTCATTGCGCATCTGTCATATAGAAGGGTTGGTCATGCTATGTATTTATAATAGGCAATATAAGCAATCATAATGTATGTACTTCTCTTCAACATGCTCGAACAACTGCACTAATAAATATAAGACAAATAAATCAGGGGAATCTCAAAAAATATGGGGTGAACAAGACAAGAATAGCGAATGGATGTACCGGACAGAAGAGCATGAAAGCAAACTCCGCCGCTAATGAGTGATGACGTTCAAGTCGAATCGAACACAAGAAGGGGCATAGAAAGATAGATGGTGGATGAAGAAGATGCAAGAAAAGCAACAAGGACGCTGGCATAACAAGTCTTCAATCAAACATAGCCGAGACCACTGAGCAAAGTTTTGCATTCAGGGCCCGGCAGAGCAGAGACACCCAGCGCGCGGACCAGAGCACCAGCCCGGAGCCGCTGCAGACCGATGGCAACCTTCCAGGCCTCAGTATCCTGCAACACAAAAACATACTTCTTGCCTTCTTGGTCACGAACACTGGCGCGGAGAATGTGCAAACCACGGAACTCCGCCTGAGGCGGGTGAACAGGGCCACCGTCATGGCTGGCAGTAGCGCTGCGCGCAAAGCATGCACTAGGCGAAGCCAGACGGCAAGTATTCTTGCATACTTTAAGCAAGTTACCAAGAAAGGCCTCTGATTCTTCGTTAGTGGGAACGTTGTTCCCACGACGGAAAGAGAAAGGGTTGCTGGACGCAGCTTTGGCGGATGAAGTGGCGTTTACCTGTGGACACCACACCTCTGCCAGCTTGAGGGTCCACGCCTTGACGTCCCATTCGCGCTGGCCGATGCCGCGTACGTCATCGTCGATGAAGAGGCCTTCGGTTGTGATGCGCAGCACCAGCCCATCGGTGATCATGCCTTGGCCTGAGACAAGTTGCGCCACTGGGGTCTTCATAAAGGCATTGTTGAAGGCGTATACACCTTGGATCACGATCTTATCTGGATCCTTTGTGGAATATGTACTGCGATGTGAGGGGGGAGGTGTTGTGCGTGCAGTCGAGTTCGAAGGTGTATATGAAGACTCTGAGTACACCGAGGTGCCAGCCGCATATGGCCGCCGCGGTCGGTCATAGGGACGAAAGGAATACGCGTCGTCTTCGTTGGCGGTTTTGGCGGTTGAGTGTGGTGCTGGTTTCTTGGGAGAAGGTGTGCGAGGCACATTGCTAGTACTAGCTGGCTTGGGCGGGGGTGATTTGGCAGCGGCCTCTTTCTTTGCGTCTTGCGCCTTCTTCTCGGCGTATTTCTTGCTTGCTGCTTCCTTGAGGGCCGCAAATCTGGCCATGGCTTCTTTCTGGGCGGCGGCCTTTGCGGCAGCTTCTTTCTCAGCAGCTTCTTTGGCGGCCTTTTCTTTGGCTTCTGCTTCCAACTTTTCGAGTTTGGCCTTTGCCTCAGCTTCGGCCTTTGCCTGTCTCTCGCGGGCCTCTGCGGCTTCCCTCTCCAGTCGCTCGCGTGCCTCCTTCTCTGCAGCGGCCCTCGCAGCGGCCATCTCCTTTTCGAGTTGCTCACGCCGTTCCTGTAATTCCTTCTCCATTGCTTCGCGCTCCCGCTTTTTCTCTTTTTCTTTGGCCTCTGCATCACGCTTGCGCTTGAACTCCTCCATCTTTCGGCGTAGCTCCTCTTTGCGCCTCGTTTCTTCTCTTGCTCGCTCCCGTTCGGCTTCTTCCTTAGCCCGTTCCCTAGCCCGCTCCTCTCTAGCCCGCTCCTCTCTGGCTCGCTCTTGCTTAGCCCGTTCTTCTCTCGCACGCTCCTCTCTAGCACGTTCCTCTCTAGCACGCTCCTCTCTAGCACGTTCCTCTCTAGCATGCTCCTCCCGAGCACGCTGCTCCCTAGCTCGTTCCTCCTTAGCTCGCTCTTCTTTAGCGCGCTTTTCTGCCTCCTCCTTTTCACGTTTGTTATTATCAGAGTTTGGAGGAGGACCAGAGCCATGTTGATTACCAGAATATTGGTTGCCGTGGGTTTGTCCTCCACCAAAGTCTCCTCCCTGCTGTCTTTGCTGACCTGCCCCGTTCCCTCCATAATTCGCACCCGACGAATATTGGTTGGCGTTTGGACCGGCGTTCCTAGGGCCATCCGGGCCTCCAGGACCCCCTGGGCTGCTAGAACCACCACCAAAGCCACCAAATCCGAACCGCCCACCTCGAGCGCCGCCATTGCCTTTATTCTCTCTCGAGCTGGTGGACTGAATGGAGCCAAAAAGCCATCCAGCGACACCAACTCCGATCGCAAGTACCGCCATACCTGTACCACTGCCGCTGGCGACCGTGGCTAGGTACCATGCCTTCACAATCGGGGAAATGTACGACCACACGAAACATGCGAGGAGTGTGCTTACGACGCCCGCTAGAAAACTGTTTCGGTTGCACTGCAGCGACGGAAGGTAGAGGAAGCCCGAGCCAGCGGAGTGAGGTGGGACGATAAAGATATCGTAGTTGCCATCCGGCAGGTCCGAGGATTTGCGATATTCGCCTTCAGTCGTATGGGGATTTTCGCCATGAGGCGGCGGCGGCGGCGGCGGTGGACCGTCGTCCATGTTGGATCAGCCCGGATCGACGATAGCGTTAATATATATATGCGCCGCAGTGCAGCGAAGCGCAGCGTCGGTCGAACGACGAGCTATAACCTGGGTTGATCTCCCGGATCAATCCTAGATGGACAAGTTCTCGCGGTCGAGAGTGAACTGCCAGGTCATATTAGTTTGACAAGTGTTGCACTGAGGCCTCAGGCACTCAGTGCTGTGGAGGGTACTCAGACGCCAAATCCAAGAAAACAATACACAACAAAGATAAAAAATCCAAACAAAATTCAAATCACAGAGCAAAAAGTTGAAAGTGCGGGAGAAACTGAGTCTGATTCGGGGGTTTGTTTGGAAGAGAAGTGTGGGAGCTAAGGATCGGCGCCAACGCTTCCTGCATCACTCGACGTGGCCATCACATCAAAAACAAAATTTGAATGCGAATAAGCAAACGAACGAGAGAGGTGCCTAAATTTCTTGATGCGGCTCTCCCCATATTCCGTATATTATCCGAGTTATGTTGAATTCCTCGGAGGCCACGCGATTTTACGTAGGGCTATGTGACCGAGCTCAGAAACAGCCTCAAGGGATGGAATTACAACAATTACAGTTAATGCTTTTTTTTGGCCTATAGCAATGGAATTGTTCAAAGCTATAACTACACAGGTGTTCGTTCTCAAACATATGTCTGTTAATATAGCTTTTCAGCCTGCAAAGGCATCAATGCTCAGAATCTGAATGGCGAAAGTACGGCTGTTTTGTTTTGGTTTTACTCTTTTGGGAAAGGGCTTGGTTACCGCGGAATATTGTTTCTCCAAGACTTTGACCGCCTTGCTCTCCGCTTTCTTGACTCAAGAGAATAATGGAGTAGGAAGGAAATAGGTAGAAGCCTAAACAACCAGTTCGAGGCTTATAGATCAAATCCAAAGATTTATATTATCTTGAATGCTGCTATATCAATGAGTTCCACGTCAATCTCGCGTTTATTTCCCTATTCAGCGGTTAAGAGGTATTCGTATTCCCATCCGGACCACTTGAGCCTCTTCCCAGCACATTATAAGTGGCCTGGGATGCTTTGGATGTCCACATTATTTGTGAGGAGTCC